GGCACATAACAACAACAACAACAATATAATTGGGCATATTAAGCCATAGGGAAGAATTTCTGGGAGAGGGGACTTCCTCTATTTTAATCTTGAAGACCAAAAGGGAACTAGTTGAACTGAGAAATCATGGATTGCAAGAAGGTTCTTGGGAAGGAAAAGAGCAGGTGCCACATGGGGACTGGCTGTAAGTTATAGCATCAGTTCAAAACCTCTTTTCTTTCCATTTATGTAATTTTTCACAGTCTAGAGATTCTTCTTGTTAAGTAGGCCATTTCTGTCACTTTTTATAAATGTTATCAATTAATTTCTGAACCACCACTGCATTTCTGAGCTGTAAGTCTTTATAGAAGGGCACCGTCTCTTTGCTCTGCAGTGTGCTTGGTGGCTTGGAACACTGATCAAATCTTAACCCACTATAAGATCAGCAAACTGCCGTCTGTGAGCCAAATCTGGCTTGATTTTATGCGACTGGAGAGCTAAGGGGAGCTTTCCCAGTTTTAGGGAGATAAAAGAGCAACCACGTCACTAAAAGAAGAAAAAACCCTCAATGAACAATATGTGGCAGGGACCATATGTGGTCAATGAAGAACAAGGTTTTTTTCAGTCTTGACAGAAAATCTCTATGACTATCATCACAATGTCTCTTTCCTCCACTTCATCCTACATGATGCCTGTTTCCTATGAAACGACCTTATGGTCTGAACACAACATCTGCTTTGTTCACTTCTGATTATTCAGGACACAGTAAAATGCTTATTCTATACTTAACAACATTTTTTTTTAAGTAAAGAATTTCCACATATCTGGAGAGGTAGACAGAGACTGAGTAATGAAGAGACTTGTATGTCATGCTAAGTAAGACACATGAATTCTTTTTTAAAAAATTAATCTTAATGGAAGTTTACAGAGACTTAGGGTTTCCAGCCATTCATTGTTGCACTTTTCTCCCTCCCTCCCTCCCCAATTCTCTCTTCTGCTAGAAAAGAAAGAAAAACTCTTTCATTGTTATGCAATCCCTGCCCCCAGGTCCACTTCACTGTGCAGCCTTCACTGTGGACTCCTATCATGACAATAATACCCAATCATACATCCCTTTTAAACAGTTCTCTCCCTCATCTGTTTCAATGCAGTGTATATTATTCCTTCCCTTCTTTTCTAAGACATATGAAGTCTTAAAGTAAAGGATGCTTTTGAACGATGTTAAGTCAAGAGTATTTGCTCATCTGAACCCTATCTCAGTCACTCACAGATTCTTCTCCAACTTCCCATGTGGCCATGCTCTCTGCCTTAGTCAGTTCCTGCAGACCTTGCTGGCACTGGTCTCGTGTAACACAGTAGGAGGGACCTTTTTCTTTTTTTAAAAAAAAATTATTTTGTTTTCTTTTTCCCTTTTTAAAAAAAATACTTTTTAATTTTAATTGTGATTTTAACAATAGTTTACAGAAAAGTCAGATTTTCATTCATTCATTGTTGCACATTTTATCCAGTCTCCCTCCCTTCCCCCTCCTCCAGTTCACTTTTTTTTACTAGTTTATTTACAAAATTCTAATACAAATTAGAACAAATTCTTTCAATTTTGCTCACTGCCCTATCAAATTGTACAATCCAATGATTAATCCCCGCTTCCCCTGTACATCCACATCCCTCTTCAAATGAAAGCTGACAGTGCAAATTATATTCCCCTTTGACAATTTCTCAACAGACTCTTCAGTGACATCTTCCTGGTACCTCACCCTTCTCTTTAGTTGGGCTCCAGCTCTTCTGTTTCCAAGACCCTCATGGCCCTGTCCCCTACCTTCTCCTTTTGCTTTACAGTAATTGTTAACCTGCTGGGCTTATATAGATGGCTTTTTGATGGAGCACCATTTTCACAACTCATATTCTTTACTCTGTGTGCCAATCTGTTATTTCTTTAGAAGTTGGCTTCAGGGGATCGTTGTAGTTTTACATTCAAAGAGTATCTCATGGTGATAGTCTCAGAGAATCCTCTGGCCTCAACCAGACCAGTAAGTCTGCACTTTTTCCCCCCTTTTATTATTTCTGTGTGAGTGTACCATCAAATCAGATCTGACTGGTACAGAAGGAGATTGTCCCTCCTTCCCCGGCAGAGCATCTGGTGGATTCGAACCGTGAGCCTCTGGGATTGTAGTTGCAGCTCCTTGCCACTAGGCCACCAGAGCTCCCCGTAAGTCTGCACTTTTAAAGAGTTTGGGCTCCGTTTCTCACTCTGCTCCCACTGCATCAGGGTTCATCTATCAGGACCATGATCAGAAGGGCTGGGAGTGGTAGCTGGGCACCAACTAGTTCTGGTCTTGGAGCAAATAAGCCCATCGTGAATGCAGGCTATGAGCCCGGTATAGAGAAGTTTCTTCTGAGAATCTGCTTTTCTTATTTGCTCTTTTCTGGTAGAGACCAATAGTTGAGTGTCTTCTCACAATTTTTTATGAATCCAAATATTACTTATCTCACTAGGATGCAGAACATGAGCCCTGTGAACTCTATTATCAGCCAATAGAACGAGCTGTCCCGTAAGGCCTTTGATGTGATTAGAGAGTACTGTATTCTGCCTTTAAAACTCAAATATTCGGTTCATCAGGAAAACTGCAAATCATTTCAGCGCTTCCATATTTTATATGCATGTATTTTTTGGGGTCATAATTCAATTCATGACAAGGTCCTAGGTCCAAAATGAGTACAAACATTACAATTTTCAGATGCAAAAGAACCAAAACAAAACAAAAACCCCACCAAAAAAAGTCCTAGGTATAAAATCAGAACAGATTTTCCAACCCTAGATTACAGATATGATGAGATTGGCACAGGATAGGAAAGGGTTCAGAACTGCTGTTCATAATAAGGTCACTATAAGTCATAGTTGACTCGGTAACACCTAGCAACAATGACAACAGACACAGAAATGTTATACCTTTGAGACCTGGTTCTCCTTTGTCACCCAGTAACTGGGTGATCCGAGAGGACCCAGGAATTCCTTTATCACCCTGCTCCCCTTTGACTCCTGGAGGTCCTTTCTCGCCTTTTCTTCCTGGAATTCCAAGGCTACCTAAAAAACAGGAGTAACAACATCAATCCCTTTGAGTCTTTCAGTTGTTCATAAAGATTAATTCAGAAGTTAACAATGTTGTTGATTGTCATTGAGTCGAGCACAACTCATAGCGACTCTATGAACAAAAGACCTAATGCCTTTCCGTAACTATCGTCGTTTCTCCAAGTTCATAGAGTTTTCAGAGGCATTTGGTTTAGGAAGTGGATGCCACTCCTGCTTCCAAACCCATCTTACAACTTGGGAGCTCCACCAAACACTGTTCACAATGGGAAACCATTATGGTATTTGATACCCCAGTGGTACAAGGTTCAGCATCACAGCAACCCAGGTTACTTCATACAGCACATTGACAAACAGTGATGTACAAAGTGGAAGAGTGTTCCTCCAGATATAATGGCACTAGTCTCATTTAGCAGTGGTTAAGTGTTGTTGAGTCAAATACGACACAGAGTAAGCTTTGCACAAAAGACTTAAACTCTGTTCTACAACTAACATAATTTCTTATAAATTACTTCCTCAAACAGGCTTAGCAAGCACAGTTGTATAAACCTGTAGGGAGAGAATGTAATTTTATTAAATGGGTAATGGGAAGGGAGAAAAAGGTAAAATCAAGCCCATTGCTCTCCCATAACCATTCTTCTAAAGGATGAGATAGAATTATTCTGTCACAAAATACATGAACACTGTTCATGCCTCCCGATAGTGGGAAAGAGGCTCTGTCACTCACCCTGTTGTCCTCGGTCTCCTGGGTTCCCAGGAAGTCCTGGGGGTCCAATAATTCCAGGAAAACCCATCATTCCTGGCATTCCTTTTTGCCCTGTGGAAAACATTGAAGACAAAGCATTGTATGTTGTTCAGAACAAGAAAAGTGATAGATCTCCTAAATAAAACAAATTAGAGTTAGCAACAGAGGAGTTAAAGAAATAGTCTGTTCAGTTAGGAAAAAAAAAATCATTATTTGCTTAAAAGATGGGCCAATAAAGCATCTATTTGGAAGTCACTGGTAGCAAATCATATTTAAAGACAGGGGAATAGGAAATAGACGATAGTGACATTTTTTAACATCCCCTCTTCCCAGCTCCTTAATAGCAGCTTTCTATTTTCTTTCTACTTCCATTATTTTCACAACACTTATATTTATTTGTTCCTGTCTTTATCAATATATGAGTTGACATCTTGTTCTTTGATGCATCACTTGTGACTGGCACAGTGCTAGCCCATGATGGTATTATGAATGAAAAAATAATTGCTCATTAAGTTATTACTCTGAATTCTTCCAGGAAATAGGTATTGGTGAAGTCTGTAAGCCATGGAGAGGCATTTCAAATATTCCTTCCAAATATATTTGCTTTTAAAGTATTCATCACACAAAAAGGACCATAAGAAAACATTACGAACAACTATCCAAGCAAATTAGCTAATGAACAAAACTGACAACTTCCTGGGAAGACACAAATTGCAAAACTGACTCAAGAAGAAATAGAAAAGTCTACATAAACATATAACAAATAAAGAGATCAAGTTAATAATTTTAAAACTTCCCACAAAGAAAACACAAGGCTCAGATGGCCTCTCTCATAAGTGCTATCACATGTTTAAGCAACATTAATTCTGAATAGCAGAGAAGGCTCCGTGCTCAAACTCATTCTATGAGGTCAATATAGCTTTGATTCAAAAGCCTGCAAAAGACATTACAAGAATTAAATCCTTCAGATTTATTCTTTCAGATTAATATCAGTTATTAATATAGAGGCCAAACCCTCAATAACATACTAACAAACTGAATTAATATACAAAAATGATTACACAAATGCTGAAAAAATTACATAAAAGGGTGAGCAAAATGAGTCATATAGTGGGTAACTGTGACATAAGACAATCCCACTAGTGCCAGTCAGTCCCCTAGGCCCCGACTGAAATATTTCATTTACTTATATACTTATACTAACTGGTGCAAATGTATTGTCAAAGACTCATGGATATGTTCAGTTTTCATAGTCAAATTAAAAGAGACGTGGAAGAAAATAAAAGAGAGAAACAAGACCACAAGACAGGACTGATACCTGGTGGTCCTGGAAATCCTGGATTCCCGGGATATCCTTTTTGACCAGGTGGTCCCATCTCACCTCGATGACCAGGCATTCCTGGTGGCCCAGGTTCTCCAGGATGTCCCAACCTATCCAAACCTGGAATACCTGGGTCTCCCTTTGAACCTGGTTCACCTCTTCTTCCTATATATGAATGAATAAATGAGTTGGCAAAACTGTACTTTCCCCACCAACATCAGAAATATTTTTTAAAGTACCTTTTCTAATAAATTTTAATGAAAGTTTACAGAGACTTTGGATTTCCATTCATTCATTCATTGTTGCTCTTTTCTTACTGCTCAATCTCCCCACCCAATATTCTCTTTGAAAAGTAAAAGAAAAATTCTTTGATTGTTATACAATCCTTCCCCCCCCAAGTCCTTTCCACTATGCAGTCTTCGTTTTGAAAAGTAAAAGAAAAATTTTTTCATTGTTTTACAATCCCTCCCCCCAGGTCCACTCCACTATGCAGCCTTCTTTCTGGACTCTTGTCATGACAATAATACTTAATCATAGATCCCTTTTAAACAGTTTTCTCCTTCATCTGTTTCAATGCAGTATACATAATTTATCTCATCTTTCTCAGTTTCACCCCAACCCCTATGTCAGTCTCGTTTTACAACTATGCCGTGGAACTATGCAGTATTTGTCCTTTTGTGACTAAGATATTTCACTTGGCATAATGTCCTCCAGGGTCACCCATTTTGTATACTATTTCATGAGTTCCTGGTTTTACAATGCAGCATAAAATTCCATTGTGTGAATATACCATAGCTTCTTTATCCATTCGTTTGTTGATGGGCACTTAGGTTGTTTCCAACTCTTTACTATTGTGAACAAAGCCGAAACATGTGCATATATATTCTTAGGTGGTGATTATGGTTTCTTTGGGGTATATTCCCAGTAGTGGAATTGCTGGGTCACATGGTATTTCAAATTGCAACATACTGCCTTCCATAGTGGTTGCACCATTTTACACTCCCACCAACAGTGAAGAAGGGGTCCAGTTTCTCCACAACCTCACCAGCATTTGTTGTTTGCTGTCTGTTAAATTTTGCTATTCTTACTGGAGTGAGATGATACCTCATAGTTGTTTTGATTTGCATCTCCCTTATAGCTAGGGATTTTGAACATTTCTTCATGGGTTTGTTTGCCATCTGAATATCTTCTTTGGTGAAGTATCTGTTCATATCCTGTGCCCATTTTTCAATTGGGTTGTTGACCTTTATCTTGTTGTGGTGATCGAGTATTTTATAAATTCTAGATATAGGTTCCTTATTTGACATGTCATTACTAAATGCTTTTTCTTAGTCTGTGGCTTCCCTCTTTACCCTGTTGGAGAAATTTTTTGATGTGCATAGGGATTTGATTCTTAGATTGTCCCATTCATCTATTTTATCCTCTCCTGATTGTAGATTTTCAGGATGCTTAGAAGACTGTTTATGTTGTGGATTAGGACGTCTAGAGTTTTCCCAAGATTTTATTTAATGAATCTATAGTCTTTGGTCTTAGTCCTAGGTCCATGATCCACCTTGAGTTGGTTTTTGTGTATGGAGTGAGGTGTGGATCCTGCTTTTTTGCCGATAGTTTTCTGCACATAGTTTTCCAATTTTGCCAACACCATTTGTTTAAAAGGCTGTTGTTTCCTCATGTAACTGATATCATCTCTTTGTCAAAAATCAGTTGACCATAGGTAGATGGGCTGCTTTCCGGGTTCTCAATTCTATTCCATTGATCTATGTGTCTGTCACTGTACCAGTACCATGCTGTCTTGACCATCACAGCAGTGCAGTAGGATTTGAAATCAGGGAGTGATATACCTCCTACCTTATTTCTATTTTTAAGGAGTTCTTTGCCTATTTGGGGCTTCTTTCCATTCCAAATGAAAGTGGCGATTGCCTTTTCCATCTCACTGAAGAATGGGATTGGTATTTGTCTTGGGATCATCAGAAATATTTTGCAGCTGCAGATACTTAGCTGTGTGGTTTGGTGTAGATTCCACACTTATCTGCAATTAATTAATTGATAACTGTCCTAAAACATCATAGAGTCGCTCTAGTTCACTGAGAGTTACTAACAGTCATGGAGTATATTTGAAAGCAGGTGAAGAATGCCAAGATGGGTGGGACTGAAAGCAGTCCCAGACCTCCGGGAGCACGTACCACCATGAAGGGGACTTGGAGAAGTTTCAGTTAAACAAGAAAAGTTTCTGGTGTTCTTGATAACATTGTTATGAGAACAGTAAAACCCTTCTATGAGTACAAGGATGTTCCCTTGGGAACTATTTAAACTTATCTAAGTTATATCTCATATGGGTCACCATGACCCAGGTGAACTGCTTGGAAGGCAGCTATGCGTAAATATTTACCCACTCAATGAAATTATGCTTTGCTGTGTGCTTTAATTTTCTGCTAATAAAAGCAGGCGCTCTGACGCTGCTCGGAGCCATTAGCCTGAGCGAGCTCTTGGTCCTCTGGAACTACATTTCACTTTGCTAGTCTTCCTTCAGCTTGACTCATGAGAAACAACAAAACATACTTCAAGAATTATTGAAACGAAAACCATTAGCATCAGAAAAATAGTCTCTGTATCTGTTTTTTAGCTTGACAACTGAGAAGCACACTCTGTGTGTATAACCTGTAGAAGACACAGAGAGCCTCTGATTCACTTGAAGGTGAGTCATCAAATACTATCATTAATAAAAGCACTACTATGCTAAGTAAAGTCTTGACATAAATTTGTGAACAATGGAATGTGTGTTGTATTAGGGTCAGAGACATTAAGTAAGTCCCAAAGAATTCTTTTCAGCAACAGTTCCACAGAGCTGTTTGAGTCGAGTCTCCAAAAAGAGGACATTTCCTTAATGTTTACACTGAATAATTGAGATTTTATGACATTTCCTATGTTGCTTGGAAAGCAATCAACTACAAATTTTAGTTAATACCATATTAAACTTAATGTTGGGTATACTCATTCTATTTTAATGATAAAGACAAATGTATTGCTTTAATATACTTTTTAAATTTTTTTCCTTTAATATACTTTTGAAAACTGTCCTGAGAATAGTGCAGTGGTTCAACTAACATTTGGGGGTTTTTTTCTCTGTGTTCCATGAGGTGGAGGGGTTGGGATTTGGGTGGTTTGATACTGCCAGCTATTCTGTGTGTGTACTGTGGCCAAGGCCTCAGTTTCTAAGTAAAGTGTCAGTTGTTTGAACTCACCAGCTGCTAGGCTGGAGAAAGATGGGGCAGTCTGGGTCTGTAAAGATTTCCCATGCTAGGAAACCCTAGGGAAGGTGTTCTTTCTACTCCATCCAAAAGGGTCACTATGAATTGGAACACACTCAACGGCACACAACAATAACACAAACATGTAATGACTGATATAAAACAGAAGTTATTTCAAGATCCCCTATCATCTGAACAGCCAATCTGTGGGAGAATCAAAGTTAGCTTTACACAATCCCGAAGGTGATTGGAATCCACCAGACATTCCTGTACCAGGTGGATCCAATTAGATGGTACCCAACAAGGGAAGATAAAAAAAAACAACTGAAAAAAAAACCCCAACAAACCCAAAACACCAAAAAAAAAAAATATAAGAAGCTGAACTACAATCCCTAAAATTAAGGGGATTTAACTTAAAATAAGGGGAATTTTCCTGGGGTGTGACTTGTTTCATCCTTGATCTCACCAGAACCTTGGAACCACCAAGAGCAAGCTGTTCTCAGAATGGTCCATTAGACTGAGGAGGTACTGAAAACTCCCAGAACAAGGAGACACAGAAGGAGAAGACTTTCTCTCAAGCTTTTATTCCGAACTTGAACTTCTACCCTCTTAAAATGTGGAGAATACATTTCTGTTAAAGCCATCTGCTTGTGGGCCTGTCCATTACAGCAGAGACAACAAAGGTAACATAATGCATCTCTCCAGAGTTCCCATTTTCTTATATATAAAAAAAAATACAAACCAATTTATCACGCTAACTTCAGGACTCTTCCTCGTCGGTGGATAGGTGGCACCTACAGCTTTATACAACCAATCCACAACAGCAGGGGGTGTAATTCTGAAAGGGCATTTCTCACTGACCAGGGGTCAGGGCTTGGGGGATAGTTCCTATCTTTAATGGCACAGTGCAGAGAGGGACTCCAATGTCACTTTTCTGCTTAGTGACTAGTTTAAAGGTAACTTTCCTCTTACCTTGTTGTCCTTTCAGCCCATTTAAGCCAGGAAGTCCTTGAGGTCCCCTGGGACCCTCCATGCACCTTCCTGGGGGTCCTTTCTCCCCAGGTGCTCCAGGCTGTCCAGGGTCTCCTGCCAAACAGAACCCCAGAAGATAGGCACATCTTGCTTTATTGTATTTTGCTTTACTGTACTTTTAATATTTCTTAACAAGTTGAAGGTTTGTGGCCACTGTGTATTGGTTGAACAAGTCTATTAGCTCATTATTACCGAGTTGAAACTGGCCCTCCAGTGGGTTTTCGAGGCTGTAAATCACACCAGAGGAGATTACTCATCTTTCTCCTGAGGAGATACCAGTAGATTCGAACCACCCAGGGAGGCATGGACTTTGGATTAGCAATGCAACTCCCTATAAACGATACTCCCAGAGCTCCCATTCCTATACGACAGAAAACAATAAAACCTTAGCCTTGGATGACCCATTTTATTGTAGTATCTGCTTTATTGTAGTGGTCTAGAAACACCTTAGGTGCCAAGAACTAAGATGTTAGAATCGTTAGCCCAGTCACTCTTGGGTAACTTCCTTTCCTTGTTAAATTAATCCTGAATATGTTTTGGATGTTTTCACCCATAGAGTAAGAATTGACCCTTAGGTAACCCTCCAGCAGGTTTTCAGAGACAGTAAATTGCATGGGAGGAAACTGTCCATCCTTCTCCCGCATAATATCCTAAATAGAGCTCTTCTAGAGAAAACTCATCAAAAAGAAGGTAGGCAGGCAGGGCAGTGAGGTCAACTGGGAAAGTACTAAGGCCTCACATGTTCTACCCACAGAACTAGAATTGGCTTGAGAAAGGGTCTCCATCCTTAGAGCCCCAACATTGAGTTTACATTTTAGATCATCCCTCTTGGCCATTGTACCTGCAGGTCCATCAAATCCTTGCTTTCCTGGGATTCCAGGGAGACCACGAAGTCCAGGAAGTCCAATTTCTCCACTGTCCCCAGCATTGCCTCTTTCTCCAGGAAAGCCTGGTTTACCAGGTTCTCCAGGCATGGCTAGGCCTGGTTCTCCCTAGTGTACAGAAAAGATGTTAGTTATCTCACAGCGCTCCCAAGCCCCTACCAAAAACTGGTCTTTTACACTCCCAAATCCTTACTAGTGACTTTTAATATTTTTTAATATGAGTGAAAGTTTATAAATAATACTGCCTTTTCATTCATTTAGACATTTTGCTTTATAATATGAATTATAATTGGCTAACATAATTAATTTATTACAGTGTCTAACAACATTCCAGGCTATAGTCTTTGCAATTACGTGCTATGCATTAGAGAGTCGAACAGTGACTAGGGATGACAGAAAGAGAATTGGTGCCTTAGAGCTGTGGTGTTAGAGAAGAGTGTTGAATATACCATGGACTACTAGGAGAACAAACAGGTTCATCCTGGAGAGGGTGAGACCAGGTTGCTCCTTGGAGTCAAGGATTCTGAAGCTTCGTCTGACATACTTTGGGCACGTTGCAAGGAGGGACTGGTCCTTGGAGAGGGACAGCACATTTGGGAGAGTGGAGGGATGGTGCAGGAGAGGAAGACCCTTGATGAGATGGATTGATTCTGTGATTGGGGTGGTGGGAATGAGTGTGTTTGAGACAGCGAGGTTGGCACAGGATAAAACGGTGTTTAGGGCTCTTGTGCATAGGGTTGCTATGAGTCGCAAACGACTCGATGGCACATAACGACAACCACATGTACTGTACACTGTCTTTCCTTTCATTGAACTTATCTATTTATTAACTTTTACTGTCCTCCCCTCACCGTCCCTTCCCTTTATGGCTGTTTATGTGAAATTCAGCATGGATCCCGTATGAAGGCCTCAAATCTGTCTGGCTTGGCTTCCCACGTCCCAACAATTTTCCCTTTTCAAATTCAACCTACTGGCTTTTCTGCAACCTGAAATTGCATATCAACAGAAAAATCTAGTTGTCTTTCCATAGAACCATTTTTCTCAGTCATTCACATTTCTTTTGAGGCTTCTCTCATTTTAAGGTCTCTGCTTCAGAGACTGTTAAGGGAGAAACAGAAATGCAAACTCGTCTTCTGTTATTTTTTATTTTCATTTTTTTAAGAGTGGAAGATAGTCCAGAGAAATGTAAAAAATGATTCTAAGATGTGAAGATATTCTCCATTGGTAATAGAAATATGAATGATTTCCACACCCCAGAGCATCCTGTCTGGCTTTTGTGATCATCCCACATCTCTCCCTTGTTCAGCTGGCTTTAACTCACCTTGGCTCCTGGAAGGCCTGGCTTTCCTGGTAACCCAGGCTTCCCCATTTCTCCAGGACAGCCTGGTGATCCCTTTGGCCCTGGTAAACCTCGATCTCCTACGGAAAAAACAAACAGTTTAGGTTATTGGATTAGAACACTGACTTGTAGGACAGAGAACTGCTCCACTGAGTTTCCAAGGCTGTAAATCTCAGCTGAAACACACTGCTGCCACCTCTTCCTCGCATAGGGCAACTGGTGAGTTAGAACTACCGACCTTCAGGTTGGCAGCCAAGTGTTTAAAGCACTGCACCCCCTGGGCTTCCTGTCTCAGAACCCCCCTTGCTATCCTAGCAGTACTTCACCGGGTGTACAAGACTCTACGTCTTTAATAGAGAGACTGCCCCATCTCCACCCCATGAAACAGAAGGTGGATTCAAACCTCTGACCTTGTAGTTAGCAAGGCAAACTCATTATGCACCACACCAATAGAGCTCTTTATTATAGAATTAGTCTTATTAGAAATGTCTGGGAAGTGTAATTCACACTTTATCTAAACTTCTTTTATGAAGTAAGCAGCTAGATATGCCTTTATGAATGTTCGAATGGACAGCAAGAGAAAATTCAGTTTTAGATTTAAAAAAAAGTTGATTTAGGTAGAGATAGTGGTTGTGCAATATTGTGAATGCAGTAAATGAAACTTTTAAAGGGTTAACTTTAGGCTAAGTGAATCTCGCTTTAAGAAAAAATTTAATTCGGCTTACACTGGTGCTGGATAAGAAATGTGACTATTTCAAATAGTCATAAATTGAGATCAATATTCTCATGTTTGGGCAGAACAGATGTGTGATAAATACAGACAACCTATTATTCCAAGAGAAGAAACATCAAAAACATAGCTTATATTTCTATTACTATATTCAATAGCATTGAAAAGAAGATAAAATTACAGATTTGCTATTAAATACATGATAATCCAGGGGCTAAGCTCATTCCTATGTCATCTTGGATGGGACCTAGATGTCCCCATCAGGACAGTGTGTTTGGAGAAGGAGGAGATTAGAGAGAGCAAGGGAGACCCTCACTTAGGTAGACTGATTCACAGCCCCAGAGATGGGTTTACACACTCCTGAAATCATGAGATAATGCAGCACTGGGCAATGTGCGTGGCGAGGCCCAGTGTGATCACAGGAGCGGGTGTGCATATTGTATCTATTCTTGTTTTCAGGAGAAAGGATGACTAGAAGAAGTTTCAGAAGATATTCCAAGATAACTTGGCAAAGCCAGGAGACTAAGGCAGCTATCTCTCTCCCTCCTTCTCTTTATCTCTCTATCTATTCATCCATCCATCCATCCATCCACCCACCCATCCATCTAGAACTATTTTCTGCACTGTAAAAGAAATTAATATAGTAGAGAAATGTGTAAAGGCCAAAAAATGCACACACCTATTAAGAAGTGAAGGAAAAAAAAAATCTATCCATAAATCCATAATCAAAAAGAAATCATTGTCATATTGAATCTTCTTCCATTTTTTTTCTTTAAATATTGAAAAATTATGCTTGAGATGACATTGTTATTAAGAAATGTGAATTCTTCCTTTCTAATTAATCCTGTAAAACTTGGTAATTCTTTTTGAAAACATAATCTTAAGGGATATTATGGATACTTCCTTTGTTTTGCATTTTCTATGTTTATCTTCGTAAAGGTCCACAATGACTTTTACATTAAAATATTTTTCTATTTACCTTTAGGTCCGGGCAGTCCAGGGAATCCAATTCCTGGAATTCCTGGTTCACCATCAGGTCCAGGTAGACCTGGATCACACTTTCCCCTGGGTCCCGGGATACCTTAAAAACACACACACACGACCTCATCAGCAACTGTCTTCCATCTTGCCTTAAGATTAACTGTCCAAATCCTCTCTGCCATCTCCCTCTATTTGGAGGTTAAGAGAGTTTATAGTAAATCCTCAGACAAATATATCTTCATTCTCTATGCAACAAACTGATGAAAAGCAGTAACTCAAATAAACAATAGACAATGGTCTTTGAGTTGTAACCTGCTCCTAAGTTGACACTTCAAAGAACTTTCCAAAGCTGTAAATTAAACGGGAGGAGACAGCTCATTTTTTTTTCAGGAGAGTTGCTGGCAGAGGATTTGCAATGAATTTATATTACAGAATTCATTCCTTAAACGAAATGTTTGTAGCTCTTTGGGTCCAAAATTAAGTTTGAGAACTTGCTGGTGAAGAAATAAAATTTACTCAGGAAGGAGTTTTGGAAACACCCTGATTAACCACTGGGGACGATAGCGTTCTTTCCCCTTTCCGTGCTCAACCCATGATGACGGTTTGTGCCTAAAATTTCTCTTATATAACTATATCAATTCTTCTTTGCAATCAGAAGTACCAATGAGACATAATTTGGACATCAAAGGATGGTAGCAAGCCCTGCCTGCTGTTTGCTAGCTGGTAGGACTCCGGACTTTTTTTTACTTATAGTGGGGATGGTTTGGGGTGTCATCTAATACTACGTATCAGATCTGACAAAGGGGATACTCACCAGGTGGGCCTCGGGGGCCAGACCGGCCAGGGGGTCCTGGAGGTCCTGGGGGGCCTGGGACAGGTGTGGAAACACCAGCTTCTCCTTTAGGACCTTGAGAAAATGTGTAATCATAGGGTGTGGTGTGCATATTGTACCTTTTCTTGTTTTCAGGGGAAAATATGATTGTAAGACGTTTATTCCAAGGCAAATTAAAAATTACCATTGCTTCCCACAGGATTTTAAGGAAACTCTCTTACTCAGGAAGTATTTACAAGCTCTAGTAGTCTTCACGTCTTGTTTTAATGACTAGTCTACTACAGTGATGTATGAAATGGGTCTATTCCACAACACTGGACTCATCTAGTACAATCACCGTGCTCTCTCCCACTGCCCACCAGCTGACAGAGTCTATGGATTGGAGCCACGCTTTCGTATTAGACTCTGAGGGGCTCCGTCAACTCTAAGACTGCCATCCCAACGTAAAGGAATATAGGAAACGTCAGAAAACTAACCAACCGACTTCTCCTGGCAGTCCGAGGGCCCCTGGGACTCCATGCTCGCCCGTCGGGCCCGGCTCTCCTGGGGGTCCAGAGTCAGGGAGTCCAGCTGGTCCCATAGGTCCTGGAGGCCCTGGGGTGCCAGGATCCCCAGGAGGACCCCGGTCCCCCTTCTCACCACTCAGGGCCTGTGACAATAAGAACGAGTCTGGATGCAGCTTCATCCCAGGATCTCCTGGCACGGGTTAGTCTTACACGAGATCAGCCCCAGTTAGGTCTTTGCTAAAGAGATTTTAAACCCCAGCCAACCAACCAATGACAAACCTGAAAAGAGAGCATCGCTGTTTAATGGATTCCGACTCACAGTGACTCTACAAAGCAGAACTGCCCTGTAAGGTTCCTGAGGATGCAATCACCGCAAGAAGACTGTGGGGCCTTCCTTCCTGGGAGCAGCTGATGAAATTATACAAAACCAAACCCCAAACTCACTCCTGTCAAGTCCTTTCCAGGTCTCTGTGGCCGTGGAGGACAGAGTGCATCCTAGTCGTCCCAAGGCTGTAAGTGACCCAGTGGCCACAGCAAAGGGCTTACACCCAGCAAGGACTGGAGCACAGCACTGGAGCCTCAAGGTTTCTTTGTGTTGTGCACAGGGTCACTATGTTAGGCCCCTAACAACGGCAATCTTAAAGAAGCCACTGGCTCATATCTCCTTTGCAGAGCAGCTGGTGGAGCTGAAGGGTGCCTTTCAGTTAGCAGCCAAGTGCTTTAACCCTTGTGCCACAAGAGCTCCTTTAATGAATAACTGTTATGTACCATCGAGTCGGTACCGGCCCATAGCTGACCCTCCGGCGTGTTTACAGAGGCAGTAAATCGCACAGGAGGAGACTGATTATGTTCCACTGCCGATGTTTGTCCTGCAAAGCAGCTGGTGGATTCAAACTGTGTGCCTTCGGGTTGACAGTGCAACTCCTTACCACGAGACCCCCAGAACTCCCATTAATGAATGATCCAAGGTGCTGATTAGCGATGCTATATAATTTAGCAATGACCTATATATATAACCGAGAGAAGGATGGGCAATCTCCTCCCTTGTGCAGTTTGACACCAGACCTCCCATTACTTTGTTTGCTATTGTTGTTGGGTGTCTTCGAGTCCGAATCATCCCATACCTGATCCTACAGAGGGTTTGCATGGGCAGTCACTGCACTGGAGGAGACTGTCCATCTTTCTCCCTTGGAGCAGCTGGTAGATTTGAACTGCCTGCTTTTGGGTTGGCAGTGCAATGCCCTACCCACTGGGCCACCAGAGCTCTCCCTTTATTTTATTACTTTGTTTACAAGAGTGACATTTGAAAAATGTTGTTATATACCAACCGGTTGACCTTTAGGTCCTGGGATTCCTTTGGCGCCGGGCATCCCAGGCATTCCGTCCAAGCCCTTTCTGCCCGGAGGACCTCTGACCCCAGGGTCTCCTGGGGCACCTGTCTGCCCCACTGGCTGAGGTGGTTCACCTTTTTCTCCTTTATGTCCTGGGTCCCCTGGAGCTCCTGGGAATCCCTAGGGCAGAAAACACATGAGTCTGAATTTTCTTTCAGTAGATGTTCCTGCATCAATCCTAAAACAAGCCCAACCAGACCTTCTCCATTTTAACAGACAGATTTACTCCCCTGACATTTTCTAGGGACACACCTACTTTCAGATTTTGGAGTAGAGGATTCAGTTAGATAATACAACTCAATGTGACCCACACAGTAATATGATTCAATATGCTATGGCACCCACATTCCTCAAACTATGTCTTAGTAGGAAATTTGAACATGTATCTCAGGATCGATTGGTTTAAATGTATCTATCCATATGCGTCTTGCATATTTCACTATAATAATGACATTTTAAAACATATTTTTGTAAAAGCTTTATGGAGATACATCACATACCATAACATTTAGAATCATGTAACAATTTCCATGATCCAGTGTTAAACAGTTTCCCCAAATTCACTCCCCAAACTCCCTGAAGGTCAACTGAGGTCAATGTCTGCTCCCACCCTCAGTCCCAGACAAGCACTGGCCAGTTTTCAGTTTTTGATCCCAACATTTTAAGTGCTTATGCATTTATTATTTCTCTCATTTGCTTATTTATACACATACTCATTTAATCAGCAATTATGCCCTAGGTGTCTGAACTTGCTTGGCATGGAACCTAGGTATGGAGCAACACCTGTGCCTACAGGCTCAAATCCCCAAGCTGAAGCTGAAGCCACCAAGCCAGGAAACCTTACCGTGAATCCTGGGAGACCTGGACTTCCTGGGGACCCGGGACTTCCTTTCAGGCCAGTTGCACCTCGTCGTCCTGAAAACACAATGGACTGTGGAACATTTATCACACACCAACTTGGAGTAGAAAGGCATTGCGGAATGTGAAGAAAACACAAGGTCTCTATTGAGGAAAAGATCTGTCCTCTCTCCAGAATGAAGGATGCAAAGTGGAGTGGACCTTTGGGGAGGGACTGTAAAACAATGAAGGAATTTTTCTTTTGCTTTTCAAAGAGAAGAGTGGCGGGGGCAGGGAGAAAAGTGCAACATTGAATGAATGGAAATTCAAAGTCTCTATAAATTTTTATTAAAATTAATAATAATAAAAAAATTTAAAAAAAACACAACCCCACAGTTCAAGAAGAAAGTGAGAAAAAATACCAGAAAAGACATCCTGACAGGAAAAACAAAGCAGGACCAAACAAACACAAGACCTATCACGGCTGAGCTTCAAAATGCTCATCTTTATAATTTTAAGGGATAGATATTTTTTCCCCCATCATAAAAGTAATATATGGTCAGTGTAACAAAATGATTCAGAAAAAATAAAAATTATCCATAAGCTACTTCTGGAAGATAATAATTTTCTAAACTGTTTATTTTGTTTTTATAACTTTAAATGTATCTTTTTCAAAACTCTCATCGCATTGAGTTGTAACTGACTCAGAGCTAATCCTCCATCCTCCTTTCAGAAGATGTAAAACAAACAGCACAGGAGGAGACGGCCCATGCTTCTCCTGTGGAGCGGCTGGTGGATTTGCACCTCCAGAGAGGCACTGGCTTTGAATTAGTTTAAATGAACAGATACGCACATACTCAGTATTTCAGAATCTTGATGCATGTATACCCATAAACAAGGGTTATGACTTTATTTTGCGTGCTTGGGATTTGGGTGAAACATTATTTAGTAGATGACAGTTTTCTAGACATTTTCGTGTTTCCTCCCCCTTTTCAGTTGCTGGGGAAAGATGCTATGTTAAGCATATTTGAACTTTTGGCTTTCCAGATTTCTAATTATTTTCTTAGAATAACTACTTAGAAGTTTAAGTACCAGATGCAAAAGGCATAGCCATCCATGAAGCTTTGGCAGTCTATCATAGAATTAAATTTTTTAAATGATAATTATCACTATATTTTTAAAAATTTATTATTCTTTTCAATGATAATTTACAGAGACTTTGGATTTCCATTAATTCATTGTTGCACTTTTCTCCCCTCCCAACCCTCCCCCCAGTACACTCCCCTCTTGGAAAAGTAAAAGAAAAATTCTTTCATTGTTTTACAATCCCTCCCCTCCCCAGGTCCACTTCACTACAAAGCCTTTGCTCTGGACTCCTGTCACATCCAACTGAATTTTACTAAATACACTGTACTTCAAAGGTGTCACTTTGAAGACCAGAGTGTGCGTGACCCAGGTCATAATATTTTCCATGACCAGATGAGGTCGCATGAAAGCTGGACAATGACTATGTAAGACTGAAAAAGGATGGTGCCTTTGAATTCCAGTCCTGTTGAAGAATCTTGACTAGAGTCGAGATTGGCCAGAATGAGTGTAAGAAATGCAGTCAGAAAGCCCTTGAGAACGGAGCTCGGTGAGGCCTCCTCTCACATGCTTTGGATCTGTTAGCAGGGTCGATCAGTGCCTGGAGAAGGACAACATGCTTGGTCAAAAAGGAGGATGAGGAAAAAATCAGAAGACCTTTACTGAAATGGAGCCACATCATTCCTGCAACAGTGGACTCAAGCAGGGAAGAGCGGGGGAGGCTGGCACAGGATTGCGGGGTTTCCTTCTGTCAAGTCAGAACCAAGGCAGCAGCCCCCAACAAGACAACATGGACAACGTGCCATCTTCATAAAGATGATCTTCTTCAAAGAGCTTCTGGATAGATCTTACCACGTTGTTGTGTACAATCGAGTCAGAACCGACTCATAACTGACCCTCCAGGGGGCTTTCAGAAGCAGTAGCCACATAGAAGGAGACTGTCCATCTTTCTCCCAAGGAGCAGTTGGTAGATTTGAACTGCATGCTTCTGGGTTGGCAGTGCAGCTCCTTATCTCTAGGCCATCAGAGCGCTCTTTATGGTCTTACATTAGGCAGTCAAGAAATGTATTTTTCTCAGCATCTGTTTCGTGCAATATTTTAAGTCAGAACATATTTTTTAAAGGAATAGAAACTATTTCACTGTTTCGTTGACTTTTTTCTCCCTTTCATTCAACAATTTATATCTATTTTATCTATGACCTTAATGTTAACGCCCCGCAATGGAACAGTCCTCTATCCACTTCTTCTTTGTATCCATCTCCATTCATCCTTTTCCTGGCCTCCCTCTGTCTTCTGGGTTTGTTTCTGGGCAAATGCTGCCCTTGTAGTCTCAGAGTTCATCCGCCCTGATGTTACTGTAACATACAAGGCTGCCTGTTATTTGACTGAAAGTTGTTCTGGAGGAGTGAGTTACCTCCAGTGTTAAATATTGTAAAGTAGGAATGAACTCACAGCTGACTCTCCAGTGGGTTTTCAGAGCCAGTAAGTGACATGGGAGAAGACTGCCCATCTCTTTCCCATGGAACAGCTGGTGGATTCAAACTGCCTGACTTTGGGTTGCCAACACAACTCCTTACCTCTGAGCTACAGAGCTGCCCCACAGGGCATTGAATAGCCATAAATCACTGAACTCCTTCAGTGTCAATCCGAATAGTAAGTCTGACCTTTTCAATGATTTTGAGTTTTATTACGCATGTCTCACTGTTTTTGAGCTAGATCCGTAGCAGGCCAAAATGTAGAGAACAGATGAAAAATGTTGCATGTTTGCTATGATGAGTTTATGCCTTTAAATCACCAGCTGATCCTCAAGGGATTTGAGTTCACCACTCCTAGGACAAACTCATTAGCATTCAGCAAGTAAAATGGAACAGGGGGAAATGCCCATTTTCACATGGCTTGGGCCAACTACAGGTTTAGAGGTTATATATGTTTGTAAATTCTTAAAGGACTCTGCATTTATAAAATCTCCCTCCCCCCCACAAAAAAATCTCCCTCTCATTTAATGCACAACATCTCAGTTCCTTGTGGTGTCCAACAATCTAATACTTGATTATCCTCTGCTGGTTGGACCCATTTGTGATATAGGCTTATGATCATTTGGAATTGACTCAACACCAAGGTATTTTGTTTCTGTTGTTGCAAAACCATGTGTGTATAAAATGTCTTTACCTGGGATTCCTTTGACGCCATCGAGTCCTGGCAATCCCGGAAGCCCTGGGGGCCCTGGGATAGAAGGACACTGTGTGCACAGGAAGCCCGGTTCCCCTGCAACAAGACCAGGCATGCATCATTATTCTCCTCCAACAAGACCGTTCCTCCATTATCCACAAACCCACACCAAGCACACAATCATTTTTCACATATAAAATTCCACTGATAAGGACATTTGATATTATTTCTTTCTGTAGTAAAATGCATCTAGGATGTTGTACATATCAAGAACAAGTAATTATCTTTGTTATTGTTGTAAATTGTCAAGTTAGAACCAACCCATAACTGACCCTCCAGTGATTTTTCAGGGACAGTAAATTGCATGTGAGGAGACTGCCCATCCTTCTTCTGTGGAGCAGCTGGTAGGTTCGATCTATGTGCTTTTGGGATTGCAGCACAGCTTCTTATAACTAGGCACTTCATCAATCTGAGCTGGGCAGTTCTTAGGAAAGAAGCAATCCCAGCGTCTAATATCAGCTGTCTAATAGTTCAGTGTTTCTTTTTCTGAATGCAGGACAGCACTTCCATTCTAGGGAAATCCAATGGTTTCTTTCATGGCTGTGAAACAGATTACAAGTTTACAGATAAAGAAACACTTTTAGCTAATTCACTGGGAAGAGCCAGTGGTAATGGACTGTTCTTGGGGACCACTGTAGCCTTCATGAAGGGAAAGAAACAGGGATAATAATGAGAATGAAATGGCTTTGTCCAGCTGCCCATTGTTTGAACCAACCTTTGGGTCCTTCAAGTCCTGGGCTTCCTGGAGGCCCGAGAGGACCAGGAATCCCACGTTCTCCGGGAGGACCCTTGCAGAAAACAATGTCACCTGTAGAAAGACAACATCAAAGCCATTTTTAAAAAAAGAAGTGTGAGTGTGTGTGTGTGTGTATAAAATTTATATGCACTTCCTTATCTTTGTACTAGAAGCTCAGTCTTTCGAAGATTTCTGTATCCAAAAAGATGGGTGCATGCTGATTAGTTCTTCTCTTCAATTCTGAATATACACAATTTGTATACATTCTCTAAAATACATATACTACTTGGTTGTTCTTGAAAAAAGTCATAACTATGTTTTTGCACTTAGACCACTCATGTAAAAATGTGCCACCACATAGAATGTGTACAGAAAATGGAGGCTTGAAAGGGTTTCATGGTTTGCGTGTTATTTGTGTAAAAATATGGTAGAAGGTACTTATCTTCATACAACGAGCTCATTTTCTCTTACTCAGTTGTTTCTAATTACTCCAAAACGACCCCTTTTGAATCTGAGGCACAGGACAAAATCCAACTCTCCTGCGTGTCCTAGATACACTGTATTCGTTAGACATATTACAAGTGCTTAATAAATGTTGTTATGTGCTGCTGACTATGACTCACAGTGACCCTGTCAACAACAGATCTGACCTCTTCCCTATCCTGTGCCACCAGTCTCATCATGTTTGACATAGCCCATTGTTCCAACCACTGTGTCAGCCTATCCTGTTGAAGGTCTGTCTTCTCTTTGCCAACCCTCCACCTTTCCAAGCATGGTGTCACTTTCCAAGGACTGACCCTGCCTAATAACATAAATTGATAGATAAAGTGAATTCTGGATCATGGAGTCACCTGCTCTTTGCTTGTCCACATCAGCTGAATTTGTTGTTCTTTTTTTTTGATGGTTGTTACTTATTTCCTCTCTTTTGTTTTTAAAAACTATTTATTGTGACTTGGGTGAAGGTTCATAGAACAAATTAGTTTTCTGATCAACAATTTATACACATTTTGTTTTGTGACACTTACTGCAATTGCCACAATGGAGAAACACTTCCTCCCTGGGGTCCTGGTTTCTATTTGTCCTTATTGCCAGCTCTTTTTTTGCCTTCGGAGCTTTGTTTTTGGAGCAGAGCAGCACAGAAGACTGTTATCAGTCCTCACCTACATCCGGGAGTGTCATGTCCTGAGGAGCAGCCAGTCTTCCTACGTTGGTAAATTGTGTTATGTGATCTAATTCTGGTGACCAAGTCTTGCCATTTCAAATACAGGATGAAAACCCAGTGTGAAAAACAACATATATGAATTTTATGAACTTTGTAAGTAAACAAGTATAAAATAAAGAATATAAACACAAAAGAAAATGTATATTTAAAAATAGTACATTACAGTTGGTACAAACTTCAGATCATCAAAGTTGCATTGCAAACTTTTAATTTAGTTCTAATTTTGTGTATGTCGTTTTTAGCTGTTCATATAGGGGAAAAATACTCATTTTATAGCTCAGTTTTATTTAAGATGATCAGACAATAATCTTCAAACATTAAAATCTTAGTATATACTTAAACAATTTCATGCACCAAGGTCAACGAAAGAGAGGAAGAGTCTCAAGGAGATGGTCTGACATTGTTGTTATTATGTATTGTTGAGTTGCCTGAGACTCACAGCGACCTGATGTACAATAGCTCTAAATCCTGTCCTGTCCTGAGCCAATTTCACTGTCTCTGACATACCTACTCTGATTATCCCAGTTACTGTGTCAATCCATCTCATCTGGGGGCTTCCACTCCTGTGCTGTTTCCTCTGTCTTTCTGAGCATGATGTCTTTGTCTAAGGACTGATCCCTCCTGGCAACACACCCAGAGTATGTGAGACAGAGCTTCAAAATCCTTCCTTCTAAGGAACAGCTTGGTTTCACTCTCTCCAGGAAAAAGATGTTTCTTCTCTTAGCAGTCCATGTTCAATACTCTTCTCCAGCACCATAGCTCAAAGGCATCAATTCTCCTATCATCCTTAGTCAATGTCCACCTCTGTATTACATAGCTAGTAATTGCAAAGATTATGGCTTAGATCAGGCACACTTTAATCTCTAGACTCTCATCATTGCTCTTCAGCATACGCTGAGGTCCTTGATAGCAGACTTCCCCAATGCAATTTGTATTTTTATTTCCTGCCTGCTAGTGCCAAGAGTATTGATTGTGAACCAAGCAAGCTGAAATCGTTAATAAGTTCAATCTCTTTTCTATCAGTCATGATGTGTCAATTGGCCCAGGGTTGAGAATCTTTGTTTTCTTGATGTTGAGGTTCAATCCATATTGAAGATTGCAGTTCTTGACCTTCTGCAGCAAACCCCTCAGGTCCATATTAGTTTCAACAAGCAAGGTTGTGTCATTTGCATAGTCCTGGCTGTTGGTGAGTCTTGATGAGTCTTCCTCCAATCCGAACGTCACATACTCCCTCATAAAGTCCAGCTTCATGAATTATCTGTTCCACATATACACTGAAAAAGTATGGAGATAGGATACATTCTTCACGTATACCTTTTCTAATTTTGAATCATCCTGTGTTTCCTTGCTCTGTTCTGATGACTCCTTCTGGTTCAAGTGTAAGATATCAAGAATATAATCCATGAAGAATGTAAAAGCCATGAAGAAGAACGAAGAACGAAGAAAGAAGAAGAAGAAGGAGGAGGAGGAGGAGGAGGAGGAGGAG